ATATTCAACCCTTTAACCTCTAAATAGTGCATGCAGATTGTAATAATGTGCATGCACTATTATACCAGCCAGAACAACAAGCCAATCAGACTCATAGAATAAAGAATGCAAACCAGATCAGCATTCTGCAGTGATTCTCACACACACCCAGTAACAAGGCCACCTTCAACCCACTAACAAATGTACCTACACACACACACACACACACACACACACACACACACACACACACACACACACACACACCCAACAGGCGAATTAATGAAAGCAGGAGACTCTGATCTATAAGTGAAAACACATGTCAGTCCATCCAGTGGCTGTCAGTGATTACCTGCCACCTGACTGGAGGCTCTGCTCTGCTCTGCAGTACAAAGGTGGAGACACTTTGGATTATTATGGGAAAAAAACAAACATGATCAAAGATCCTGACGCACCTTTCACTTGGGTCTCATACTCCGATATGATCTCCTTATCCTTCTTGATTTTCGTGGATGACATGGCTCCTTAGGCTTCAGGGTGAGACCCCCGATAGTCGAGGCTTTACTGTCGGCTTGCAGAGCTTCAGCGCGTTTCCTTTTTTCCTCCTTCTTGTGGCCTCTAAAAAAGCAAATAGAGGTTTTCGCTATTGTATTCCCGCTGCCCTGATATTAGCGCGCGCACAGCTCTATTGCATGTTTTTTTTTCTCTCTCTGGTCTTCCTTTCTTCTTCGGCTACGAGTCCACTGAAAGGCTTCAGCGGGAAAAACAAAGAGCCTCGGACTAGGAGAACATAATGATGATGAGCGGAGCTGGAAGGTCTCAGGCAGGTCCTTCTGTGGCAGGAATCAACAGACATGCGTACGAGCAGCAAGGCATCACACACACACACACACACACACAGAGCTGACAAACTGCGCTGCAGGGAAACAGGAATTTAAAAATCATCACGTGAGCCTGTTCGCATCACCAACCCTCCTTCCATCCACCCAAAGTCCCCTCCTGCACCTCAGAGGACATGGTGCATCACTTACCAACATTTCAAGCAGCCCACTCTTATCAAATGCATCACTTTCGCATGCATTCTTTTTATTGAATTTACCACGATCAGGTCATAGCTGTTGTTAATTATGAAAATATCATTCTTATAATAAAATGGTTCAGTAAAAGCTTTCTCTACACACTGCCACAAGGATTTCATGAGGGAGGTCAACACAAAGAAGTGTAAAATTGTAATGCTACAAATGCAAATGAAATCTCCCAAGTGCAGGAAATAGATAACAATAACTATCATAATAAATAATAAATACAAACTGGTTGATTTTTTTCAACTTTTACTCGATGTTTTCAGCAAGATGCTACATATCGTTTATCAGTCTGAGAGTGGGATCTCTTCTGTGTTCATCATCTGGGGTAATGGTATAAGATGAATGACTTAAAGAGGCTCAAAAAGCTGGTGAGAAAGGTCTGCCGTGTTCTAGGAGATCCACAAAACCTCTAGCTATGATTTAACAAAGAAGAGTTATAAGTGAAGAACTTTATAGTGAGCATCCTCTTTATAAGCTCGTTAAACTACAGCAGAGTGTCTTGAGTCAGAGTCTTCCCCAGATCTGGTGCAAGACAGACCACTACAGAAGATCGTTTCTGCCTTTGTATACTACATAAGCCTATTCACATCTAGATATTGAATATTCTCCTCAATCTTCCTTACAAAGTAGCTCAACCTATTTCTAAATGGATGATCACAGATATACGGTAGCCCTAACTGAGCCATAATAAGATGTGACCTAAACTAATACATTATACAGTAGTTTTTGATTTAATGTAGTCATCGTTAACATGAACCTTCATCCCACCATCCATCCTGTCCAGTTGCTCATGTTGATGGTAGGAAGGCATCCCCCATAGCATGACTTGGCCACCTTTGTTTCACCTTGGTGATGGTGTTTCCATAGTATGTAATTTTTTGGTGTTCTACTAACACCAAAATTCTTCCCTTGTGTTTTGAGTTTTACCAAAGCTAATAGCTGAAAATATATTTATTTACGAGTCTTTGGAAGGCAATGAATATATTGCATCCAACAAAAAGTAAACTGAGAGGATTTAAATTTATGCTACCAAAAAAGAAGGACCTTTGGAAGCAATGTGGTGACAGACACAGGTCTCTTCCTCCACCCTTACTGGCAGATATGTCATCTGGATGACACCTCATTGTTTGTGATGGGGGTAGAGCAGTAGGTGAGGGGGGTAACACTGTGTTTGTTATCTGTCACCTTAGCTATTCTCAGCTCAAAAAGGAGCATGCTGTTAACTCAGATCCTGTGTCAGTGTAAAACCGCATACTGACACACAGGAGATTTGTGTGTAACATTTTTAACTGCAGCTTCAGATGCAAAGCAAAAGAAAAATAAAATTGTGGAGAAATATATTTGAGTACATTATGCCATTGCTCTCTAAAATCTATTCTTTGTAAAACCACTTGGATTTTCAAAACTGACCTGATTCGAAATATTTATTTATTTTTTGCATTTATTGGTGAAAACTCCTAATTACTGTAGAAACAAGAGTTATCGAAAAGAAACATAAAACTTCTGTGTTTTGCTTTGCACAAATAAAGTGAAGTTAGATAAACAGTTTCTTCTTGCTATTAGGCCTCCAGCAGAGATTAAAAAAAAAGATTTTGTGCTTTTTCCTGGATTTCTTAACCCCTAAAAATTTCAAGATATCACCTGCCAATTAAGCACAATTTATATGAATCCCCTCTCACAGTAAAAACCTTCAAAGAATTTGAAATGTTCTCTGGTAGTGTGAATTGTCTGTGTTATCTGTGGAAGTGAATCAGAGGCAGACGGAGTATTGTTTTGTGTTTCTCTGCATAAATCACAATCTTTGTGCATCTTTGTGGTTCCAGCGGTTAGTAGTAAGTTGTTTGCCAGACTTTATGTATCTGTGATATGTCTGGCCTGTGAAGAGAGACAGTGAGGACACATCACTTGTGGAAAAGGAAAAACTCACTGTATCCTGCTTTTGTTTGTGTTTAAAACTCTGTTGGTTGTTCTGCGTGGTTTAGATCTGAGACGCTGAACACGACTCCCCACGGCGATCCAAACAGTCAAGTTTTAAAATGACACGTTCTGTTTTCTGTTTATACTTTTTCTTTATACAATAACTGAAACTTTCATCACTGATTAATTTTGAAAAGGGAATTCAGTTACTGTTGCCATGGTAGGAGACACTGTACATCACATCCAATTAGATCTTGACAGTCATTTACACAGATTCCAGTGAAGGTGTTAAGGGAACTATTGTAAGTTGTCGCTCCTGTAATTGGATCAGATTTAATTTGAGATATCTGCCGGTGGGGATCTTTAAACAGCTGGCATATGATGAGCAAATGCTTCAATGTGAAGAAGGCAGGAAAGATTTTTTAAAGCAAACTGGTTTACTGTGTAGCTGTGCAAAGATGATTATTGGAGGTTAACATAAAATGCAGACTTAAAAAAAAGTATTTCCATGTTTGATTAGGTCATTACATACTGTATATCATTATTTGTCAGAAGTTTTTTTTTATCAGGGTGTGGATGCACTCTGTGCAATATTGGCCATCTGCTGTGCAGGATTGTTCGCTTCTAATCATGAGCAAACACCCACTTCTCTCAGACTTCACACTTACTAATCATTTGACCTATAATAGAAAGTTAGGAAAACAAAAAACATAAAGGTTTAAACATTAGTTTTCAACAAAGATGATAAATACAGGCATGACTTTATTGCTCAGGAGAGCTCTTCACTTGTCCCTGCCTAGACAAGCTATTAATCACTGTGAAAAATGTGACACAGAGGAGAAGTTAGTTATGCTTATCATCATGTTGAACATAAACTTCATTAATCATAAATGATAAATGGGGAAAGGAGATTATGGGGGACTACAATTAGATATGCGAAGGCCAGGTGGATTGACAATACTGTTTAAGAAAATATTAAACTGTTAAGAGTTTATAGAATCTTAATAGCATGACTGCATAATGTTGTCTTGTATGATTAGTTTGATATGTTTTATATTCAAATATCTTTAATGTTATTGCAGAAAAAACAACAACAGAAGGTGTAGGGGAAGTGCTGTTCAACTGTAAGCCCATTATATTTGCAAAAATTAGGCTTCATAATATTTTTTTTCTTTTTCTTACATGAGGGAAAAAGGTTTATTTTAAGAATGTATATACGTTTTTAGACTAATTAGAATGATACTAAATTTTCCCATGCTTGTGAGATATGCTTGCATGCTTTATCAAATGTATACTGTTGTAAAGATATGGTATTCTTTCCTCCAATTATTAATGATTCTACAACTCAGTTGCTTAAGGTTCTTTTTTTTTTTGTACATGGAGCTTCCTCTCTGATCAGAGTATTGTGTTGTGTCGCCATCTTCTGGTCGTTTACAGCTAATATCTTAAATTGCTCAGGAAATACAAAAAAGTTGTCGATGGAGCGCTCAATTTTTGGGCGACAAGTCCCACCCACCTAAAACTTTACAACCAATCCTGAACCGTTTCTAAACTGATCGAACCAATCACACCACAGTTTTCATATATAACGTTATAGTGATTTATAAGGATTCTAGGCATTGGAGTGTCAAAATAAACAAATTAGGGTTAAAAAAAACAACCCACAACTAACAAACAAACAAACAACTCTAGAAATACAAGTGAAAATGAATATATCCTTAAACAGTATCCATCTTGGTACTTTTATCATGTTCAAATCCTCACCCAAAAAATCTCCTTCCCTTTTAACAAACCCCCTCAAACACACAAAATTCACAGGTACATAAAAAAATTCTTCTGAATGCTGTGTATCTGCATTATTTATGAAAAGAGAGCTCTGGAGAAAACCTCTATCAGAATAATATTTAAAAAAAAACGGTTAAATCACCGCACATTTCTGCCATCTACAAAAGTGTCTTAAAGCCCACTTTTCGATGTGCGGTGAATCTTTTAATCTGAAAATATTAAACCGGAAGTTGGTTGCTGCTAAGCGGAAACAGCTCGTTGTTACCGCGTGCGTTGCAGGTAAGCTTCCTACAGGATTGCTGAATTTTATTTAAATGCATTAGCGTTTTAGTACAGTCACCCATCCGTCGCTAAACAATGTGCTTGATATGAAAAAAGTACTGTTATCTTTTTTCATACCTATAACTAATAAGCATCAGACCCTGAAGCTAACGTTAGCTAGCTAACTCAATGACAGATTTATATACCAACAGAGCTTCTGTAGTTGCATTCCCCTTCCCTTGTTTAAAGCATGCAACAGTATCTGAATATATACTACGTTTGTTTACAGGTGAGCTTCCCCCCAGCCAATCACTCTGCACTGACACCTGTTGACAGAAGCAGTCAAGACAGAAACAGTCCACCGATCTATAACTCCTCACTATGTCCTCCCTGGAAGATGAGGCTGTGGAGCAGAACACGGTGGAGGGACTCACCTCTTCACCATCCTCTGACACTGATACCAGCACTGGAGCAATCATAACCATCACCATTGGAGCAACCGTGCCCACTGGATTTGAGCACACTGCTGCAGAGGAGGTCAAAGAGAAGATTGGGAGTGATGCTCGAATCAGCAAAGATAGAGGCCGTATATATTTTCCCATCACTACTGACAAGCTCTTCCAAGTAAGTCATTGCCTTTCTCATTCTAGTTTAAAGAATGGAAAAACCTTGAATCAGCCCCACATTGACTCCCCCCACCATGTTAAGATACATGGTGGTGGCAGTATCATGATCTGGGATAACTTTCAGGTGGAACCAAGGTATTTGAGTTGAATCAANACATGGTGGTGGCAGTATCATGATCTGGGATAACTTTCAGGTGGAACCAAGGTATTTGAGTTGAATCAAATTAAGAACTTTTCCAAACCAGTTTTGACCCAAAAACCTAAAATATCATCACCTGGATTTTTATTATTCAGCATTACAATAGAGCCAAGCATGCAAAACGGGATTTATAAAGAACAGACAAAGTTTACAAATAAAATCTACTACTTATCTGTGGGGACAATAGCATAGATGAGAGATGTCCTTATATTGTAACCTTTTTTAAAGAATGGATATGAAAATATTGTCAAAAGATTTTGAATGTTGCTCCTACCAAAGAAGGCTAAAAGCTGTAATTCAGTCACAAGCTGCTTCAACAAAGTATTAGTCTGTCTTAGGGTGTTCACATGTATACAACCAGGTTATGATCTCAACCTTTATTTAAAGTTATTTCAATATTTATTCTATTTTCAGTTGAATGATATGGACTAGATGTCAAATTATGGATTTGAGTTTTGAAAGATTTATCGTGGTTTAATTTTTATCCCACAAAAACACACATTTTTAACAGGTTTGTAAACTGTAGCTCTATATAGTGCTTATTCTATGCAAGAGACACATGCAGAGAATTCACTTATTAAGAACCAACTTATTTATCCCAGATGTAATTCACAGTATTATATTATTGTATAAAAAGACATTATTGTCTTTTTATACAATGAAACATGACAGCTACACATTCTACGCTGCTGAGTGGAATGTTTTGAAGGGGTTTGTGTTGACAACCCCTGAAGGGTTTTCTGGTGCAAATTAGGGCTAAGTGATTAATTGCTTTTATTGATTGTTTAAATTCTTTTTTTATGAAGATTTTAATTTTGAAAAATGTATATACAGCAAACCATTTCTTGGGCTTCCAAAGTGCTATCATTGATTCCCTTTTTGCTCTTAGATGTGTACATATAGAAGATAAAACTAGCTCCCTGTGATACCACCAGTTGCAAACATTTAGTCTGCTATATTTTCATTGTTTGTTGTGAGCAATGATCGTTTTTCTTTTTTCACAGCTTGATTTCCATTGCTCTTTAAATTAAGGTAACCTTCCAGAGAAGATGATTGGAATACAAGCTTGTGCACTTTAAAAAATATAAGCCCATTTTGTTTGCTCTATCTATGAAAAGCAAAGATTAAAAAATGGAGATGTCAAATAGTAATTTAGCTACAGAATAGAATAGATAGAATAGAAATTGCCTTTATTGTCCCACAATGGGGAAATTCTGGTGTTTGCAGCAGAAAAAGATTATAGAAAGAATTGTCACACAAATGTGGACCTTAGAAAAATGTATAAGAATAACATAATGATGAAGAGTTAAAAGATAAACCATTAAATACTGTACTGTAAAGTGTTTTAACAATAAAAAAATGTAAATAACCAATATGCAGCTATGGGCATTTTTACAGTAATGGATATTTAAAAAATAGCAGCAACATCAGAGATGTGCAAAATGACAGCAGCATGTCATTTAGCTGACTAAGGTAGAAGGAGGAATGATCTGTGATAACACTCGCTGATGCATTCAGGGTACAACATTTGGAAACATCCAACAGAGATGTTAATTTAGTTAGGACCCTTTTGTTTCCCACCTGCTGCACTGAGATCAGAGGGCATCCAATCACAGAGCTGGCCTTCCTGATCAGCTTATCCAGCCGCTTTCTCTCAGCTACAGATAAGCCACTGCTCCAACAGACAGCTCCATAGATGGCTGATGCCACAACATAGTCATCGAAGGTGTTTATGACTCTGTTCCATAATCGGTTAGTGTAATCAACCGTGAGCTAGATCCTGCTGACATCTAATCTATTTTTAAAAAAATGCGTGGTTAAGTTTAGAAATATACGTACATTTGCGCAGTTCTTTTGAACAACCGAACGGCATTTTTCCATTCACCGAATGAGTTCTGGGAAGCCACTCCGTTCCAAAGTCAGCTCCCGACTCACTTGGTCTGAAGGGATAATTTTAAGAGTTGAAGGGCACTTTCCCCTAATTCTTAAAATTACTAGGACACACTAACCTTGCACGTGAACGCGCAAAACCGAGTGCTAGGCTCTAAAACAACCGCAAGTTAGAGAAATGGGACTGGGCCTTATTCTGCTTATGTAGCTCCTGTATTTACTATGATAGTTTTTTTTTTCCCAAGCTAAATAAGACAAATACTATTGTGCTACATGGATAAACTTCTCTTAGTGACAGTTTCTAAACAATCGTCTCTTATCTTACAGATCCTACATCCGCTGTTTTCTGGGCCTTGATTTCCTTTTTTTTTTTTTTTTTAAGACAGCTTTCTGATGTTGTTCTTTTGCTGTAAATATTTGTCATTCTGTCTTAAAGTCAAAACAAAGCTACTAAAAACCTCTAGGATACCTGGAAATTTGCATAAGGATCTGAAAATAAGATGTTAGGGATTTGAATCTTTATATTGTTTCAGCTTAATATTTCCTCTCTGTTTATATAGGATCTAGTGATGTTTTTGTTTTGTTTTTCAAACCAGTGCATACCCTTGTGCAGAGGATGCATATCTCAAGTTTATGCACAGTATCTAACTGTCTTTTTCTATGTTGCAGGTTCATCTTTTGTGTTCTGTGGACAATCTGTTTGTTGTGGTTGCAGAATTTGATTGTTATCAGTTTAAAGAATCTAAGGTGAGTTAGTCTGAGCTGTTCCCCCTGATTTTAAGCTTCATATTATTCATAATGTTATGTTTGACTTTTGGTCTTTACAGGAGGAGACCCTGAAGGAGTTGCAGGAGCTTGCATCTACGCTTCCCTGGACTAATGCTCTTGAGGTCTGGAGACTTAACAGAACCCTTAAGAAGAAGAAAGGTCACAGAAAAGTGGGAAACACCACTAGAGCAAAATCTAAAGCAGCGCCCAGTGATGTGGCTGCTTCTGCTGAAGCAGCGCCGCACAAGTTACCTCAGGAGACGTCTCTAGCCGACAGTGACACCAAGTCAGTGGTCACCCCAGACTCAGAAACGTGTCAGCAGGACTTGGAGGAGACTGCAAACGATGCCAAAGTCATCAAGTTCCGTGTGACGTGCAACAGGGCCGGTGACAAACACAGCTTTTCTTCTAATGAGGCAGCCAGAGACTTCGGAGGAGCCGTGCAGGAATTCTTCCAGTGGAAAGCAGACATGACGAAGTTTGACATTGAGGTAGGAAAGCTTGTTCAGACTTAACAGAGGACATATTAAATATCAGCATCCAAGCCAAGAAAAACTCTGCTTACTGAGGTAAACGTGCAAGGGATTAGCTCATATTTACTTTAGGGAGTTTCAAAAGATCTTATCTGAATAGTATTAGGTGACATTTTCCTTTTAGGTGCAATTTTTTACTTCTTTGGAAAACTGAAAAATGGCTATGTGAAGTAAAAGGTTTTGAAAATGGCCGTTTTTTTTTTTTCATTCTCTCTATAATTTAAAATCTTATCACGTGTCTGCAAGAAACGTGATAAGAGAAAAGCTGGTTGACAGAAGGCTATTTGTCATCATGCTTACAGCAACATATTTTCTTCAGAATAACTATATTTGTGTCCTTGACCAAAATTGAGAAATACTGAGAGAGAAAAAAGCAAAGACAAGGAAACTAAGTACTCTGCTGAAATGTACAAAGTTGATAACAAAAAAATTCTAAAGAAACATCAACGAAAAAGATACAACATTCACTAAATAAATTAGACTGAAGTAGTGGTGGTGAAATCAAAAATTGAAATGTAATTTCAAAGTGAAGATTTGTATGGTGTTTATCCAGTGTGGACGATGTAATCAAAAGATTTGTAGCTTTGGTGTCTATCAGCCCAGCAGCTTATGTAGGGATTCAGGAGCCCTCTGTCAAGAGCCCAGTCAGCCTGTAATGATCAAAATGATGAATGACTACCAATGAGCGCTCCTTTAGTAGATAGTTGACCTTATTTATGAGTCTTTTTCAAGTATGTATGTTATTAATAACTCTATGTTCGCATGTTTTTGCGAAAAGCTGAATTGCATTTGTATTGTCTATATAGAGTCCTACATTTAAACTTTTTCTATTATGTAAAATTCACATTATAAATATTTAGTGTCAGTCATATATTGTCCTGAAGCCTTTGTGTGAGGTTCACGAATGAAAAAAAAAAACCTTCCCCATTCTCACTGCCTTTCTCCACCTCTTAGCTAATGTTTGCTCAAAATGCGCCGTTTAAAAATCACGCACTTTATGCTATCATAATGGGAAATAACCTGTCCGGAGCGGTCTGTAGCAGCCCATCACTCAAGCCTGGGTCTTCTTCTGCGGTATTATTCTGTGCTTCTAGCTGCTATCTGTACAAATTCTAACTGGTTGTAATGGTTGAGGTTTGTGGGGTCGCGGCCTTCAGCAGGACTGGGACTGGAAACCAGAAAGAGTTCATCCAGAAGAGGGCTGAATAAGAACATTTTTGGTGAAGGCTGTCTGCCTAATCAGGGATGAATTTTCCTGCAAAAATGGTAAAGTCCTGTGGAGGCCTCATTGTTAAAGTTTGTATTTTCTAATATAAAATAATATGAGAGTTTATGAAAAACTTGGATTTTCCAGTCTGGTGCCTTATTGTTTCCAACCTCAGTATTTTAAATCTCCATTAGTTAAGCGGCTCTCCGTTTACCCTCTAGTTCACTTTGAACCAATGATACATGTGGTGGATGGAGAGGAACTGAGGGGAATACTGCAGGTGTTGTAACATTTTAACCATGTCTTCTCTTTGATAAATATGGAAGAAAAATTACAATCCAAATAAAGAAAAAAAGGCAGATGAGAAGAGAATTTAGTGATAAAATTGAAGACCCCTAGTTTTGTGGTGTTGCGACATTTAACTGATAGTTCATTGAGTTTATGTGTCTTTGATTTCCAAGCTAGTGTAAATAGGAATCTTTGAATTAAACAACTTCAGTGTCATTAGCTGGTAGAGGGAATAGGAAATGTATCATGATGTCAGCCTTTCATCTCAGTTGATAATTATAATTATTAATAAGCTGTTTGTTTCATTTTCATATTTTGAAACGACCCGCCATGCACACGCACAACCCTGTACCAACTCCCAAGAGGGAACGCCTGTTAAATGCGTGTGACATCATTTCTCCTTGTGCACGCTCTATTCAAAAGTTGCAGTTTGCATCACTCATACAAGCTTACTTACCAAAAGATTTACAATTTTTCAATTATGTCAGACTAACCACTGATAACTTAAAATGGGGACGAGCATGTAGGACGGCCTTGCGTAAACACATCACCAGAATGACCACTTATTTAGACAATCCACCCGAAAATAGAACATCCTCCATTAGAGCTTTAAACTGTTAAAAAGAGGTGAGGGTGGCGTGCTTCTCTAGCGTACTGGTTAGCGCACACAATCCTTGTATGACAGAGGCCTTAGGCTCCTTAGTCTGTCTTAGTTGCAGAGCCAGGTTCGAATCCAACCTGTGGTCCTTAGTGGTGTCTCTCCCCCTCTCTCATACCCCCTTTCCTGTCAGCCCACTGTACAATAAACGATCCACTAGTGCCGTAAACAATAACTTGGTGAAATCCTTTCCTCTCCCTTTATTCCCCAAAATGCCATCTAGTTCTTGATTGAAGTTCAGTAAAATTATATAATATTCTATTGGATGTATTCTCTTATTATTATTGCCCAGCTGGTGGTGTAAAACTATGTAGTCTTTAGACGCTTCACCTGTGTATGACTGATGAGGGAAGGTTCAATCCTCATTTGCTGAATATCTAATAAAAAAACCTGGAAAGGAAGCAATTGTTGGGTAGAGCTTAATTGTGGTTGGTCATGCTGTCTGTTGATGGTTGTAATTATTTCATCTTAAATCTGCATCATTTGTTGCAGGTTCTGCTCAACATACATAATGAAGAGGTGGTGATTGGGATCGCACTCACAGAGGAGAGTCTTCACAGGAGGAACATCAGTCACTTTGGACCTACTACCCTGCGTTCTACCCTGTGCTACGGCATGCTCAGGTGGCTAGTTTTTCAGGATCCTAGGGGCCTCGCAAATGTTTCATTTTTCATGAAGTCACTCATGTTTTGGAAAGAAGGTAGGGCAGCTTAACTGAGCATATGTGCTTTGGATGAATTACAGGTCGAACAAGTGCATCATTGTGGAGGACAAAAGAAATTGTCTTGTACGTCAAAGCTTGTTTGTTTTAGGCATGGTAACTAAATAGATAGGTGGCTGTCGTATTGGGTGATATTTTCCATTAGCATCATTATCGAAAGAATTTTTTTTGTCTCTATTTATGCAGTTTATTATTGTTAGGTATGTTGCATTTTATTGTTGTGCATTTCTTTCATAATTATGCTTGTTTTATTTGGGTGTGATCAGTCCAGTATTGATACTGAATATTTGGAAGAATTCTTCTCAAACCGAGGGCTATAAAGAATTCTGTTCTATATTTAAAGTGAGTTCTATATTTAAAATATAATTAGCTAATCGTGTAGGCAATGAAAGACAGTATATCTAAATAATTGCCATTTAAGATAACAAGGAGTTAACCCAGAGGACAAATTGGCACTAAGCATTGAAATACATTGGATATTGTGTTTTCTTCTTTGAAAACCAGTTCCATCTTTGATTTTCCAATTTCCAGCTTGCATTTCTCTGGGTTGCTACTCGTCAGTCTCCAAGCTCTCATGCTATGTCTGAATCAAATAGCTTAACTACCACACTAGCAGCAATCACTGCCTCCTAAAGAACTCATATTGGACTTGTGTGATTTTTGATGCTGGCTAAGCTTAGCCTCTTTTTTTCCTGGGATGCCCCCCTAACATCCAGCTGGCTGAGCACATTCTGATTCTGTTTCATATTTTAAAGAAACCTCACCATTACACATGTGAAGAGTTTTTTTAGTTCTCTGTTTTAAGGCTCATTAGAAAAAAAGTGGACCTCACAGCATGCATTTCTACATTTTAATGACTGCTCCAGTAAATAGTTTGACCTTTAAACATTTACTGGTCCTGTCAGTTTGTAGTCCAAAATAGCCTTTTTAGATTCTTCTGTTTAGAAGTTAAAGTTAGCAGCTGCACGCGCCACCGAAGTGCACGGTGTCCTCCCCAACATTGAATGCATAACAATGTGATGCAGCGTAAGTACTGACGCTACAAATGTTTTCATAAAGGACAAACAGGTATTTCAGACGTGACAAACGTGCTTGCAGTTTAAATTGGCAAGCCAATGTTCAAACTGGGAGTTACCCTAGACACAAATACAGTGAAGAAAATAAGTATTTGAACACCCTGCTATTTTGCAAGTTCTCCCAATTAGCAATCATGGAGGACTGGGCCATAAACCCTCCTGCAGTCTGTGCAAACCTGGTGAAAAGTACAGGAAAAATTTAACCTCTGTAATTAAAACCAACCGAGTTGATTTTCAAATACTTTTTTGCAGTTGTATCATACAAATAAATAGTTAATAAATAATATTGTGATTTCTGGATTTTTTTTTAGACTATCTCTCTCACAGTTGATATGCACCTACGATGACAATGTCAGACCCCTCCATTGTTTCTAAGTGGGAGATCTTGCAAAATAGCAGGTTGTTAAAATAATTATTTTCCTCACTGTATTTGTGTCTAGGGCAGGAGTGTTGAATAACAGAACCATTTTCCATTTATGGTCACATTCTGTTTGCTTGGAAACCAAAATATTTTCTGTAGAGTGAGATGAGGTAAAAATTTTCAAGTGGGGGTCACCCTCCATACAGCTATAGAAGAGGGATCCAGTCTAGGTGTCATTTTTAACTCCTACAGTTGAAATTAAAATGCCAGTAGATTGAAGGCGAGTTTGTTTAGCCTCAAGGCAACCCACACAAGAACTTCCCATTAGGTTAATAACAAAAATCTATCTGCATTGAGTTAATACCAGATCTCCTTTAATATGAATCTTATCTGGTAATTTGCCAAATATGATTTTTATTATTTGGACCAATTAGGATGTTTGTAACTTCTACAGGTTTTTGCTTCTTTACGTAGCTCTGGACTGATGTTTGGACTATATTTATCTTCTGATGTGTGTCTGCAGGCTGTGTAAACCTCAGGAGTCTGATATAATACTTGATCCAATGTGTGGGACTGGAGCCATACCACTAGAGGTGAGACAATTCATGATCCTTTCATTACATCAGCTGGCTGGATGAGGTTCAGCTTTACGACATTTATTCAGAATGGGTGTGATTAACTGTTTGTTGCTGTAACGCCCTTCAGAGTTCTGGGCATGCAGTAACAGAAAAGAAAACATCTCTACAAACATTAAGTAATTTGGCTATTGTCAGATACAGTTGGTATGGAGGAGGCAGAGGAATGAAGGAAAGCGTGTTTTTTTNGCTTATCCAGCCGCTTTCTCTCAGCTACAGATAAGCCACTGCTCCAACAGACAGCTCCATAGATGGCTGATGCCACAACATAGTCATCGAAGGTGTTTATGACTCTGTTCCATAATCGGTTAGTGTAATCAACCGTGAGCTAGATCCTGCTGACATCTAATCTATTTTTAAAAAAATGCGTGGTTAAGTTTAGAAATATACGTACATTTGCGCAGTTCTTTTGAACAACCGAACGGCATTTTTCCATTCACCGAATGAGTTCTGGGAAGCCACTCCGTTCCAAAGTCAGCTCCCGACTCACTTGGTCTGAAGGGATAATTTTAAGAGTTGAAGGGCACTTTCCCCTAATTCTTAAAATTACTAGGACACACTAACCTTGCACGTGAACGCGCAAAACCGAGTGCTAGGCTCTAAAACAACCGCAAGTTAGAGAAATGGGACTGGGCCTTATTCTGCTTATGTAGCTCCTGTATTTACTATGATAGTTTTTTTTTTCCCAAGCTAAATAAGACAAATACTATTGTGCTACATGGATAAACTTCTCTTAGTGACAGTTTCTAAACAATCGTCTCTTATCTTACAGATCCTACATCCGCTGTTTTCTGGGCCTTGATTTCCTTTTTTTTTTTTTTTTTAAGACAGCTTTCTGATGTTGTTCTTTTGCTGTAAATATTTGTCATTCTGTCTTAAAGTCAAAACAAAGCTACTAAAAACCTCTAGGATACCTGGAAATTTGCATAAGGATCTGAAAATAAGATGTTAGGGATTTGAATCTTTATATTGTTTCAGCTTAATATTTCCTCTCTGTTTATATAGGATCTAGTGATGTTTTTGTTTTGTTTTTCAAACCAGTGCATACCCTTGTGCAGAGGATGCATATCTCAAGTTTATGCACAGTATCTAACTGTCTTTTTCTATGTTGCAGGTTCATCTTTTGTGTTCTGTGGACAATCTGTTTGTTGTGGTTGCAGAATTTGATTGTTATCAGTTTAAAGAATCTAAGGTGAGTTAGTCTGAGCTGTTCCCCCTGATTTTAAGCTTCATATTATTCATAATGTTATGTTTGACTTTTGGTCTTTACAGGAGGAGACCCTGAAGGAGTTGCAGGAGCTTGCATCTACGCTTCCCTGGACTAATGCTCTTGAGGTCTGGAGACTTAACAGAACCCTTAAGAAGAAGAAAGGTCACAGAAAAGTGGGAAACACCACTAGAGCAAAATCTAAAGCAGCGCCCAGTGATGTGGCTGCTTCTGCTGAAGCAGCGCCGCACAAGTTACCTCAGGAGACGTCTCTAGCCGACAGTGACACCAAGTCAGTGGTCACCCCAGACTCAGAAACGTGTCAGCAGGACTTGGAGGAGACTGCAAACGATGCCAAAGTCATCAAGTTCCGTGTGACGTGCAACAGGGCCGGTGACAAACACAGCTTTTCTTCTAATGAGGCAGCCAGAGACTTCGGAGGAGCCGTGCAGGAATTCTTCCAGTGGAAAGCAGACATGACGAAGTTTGACATTGAGGTAGGAAAGCTTGTTCAGACTTAACAGAGGACATATTAAATATCAGCATCCAAGCCAAGAAAAACTCTGCTTACTGAGGTAAACGTGCAAGGGATTAGCTCATATTTACTTTAGGGAGTTTCAAAAGATCTTATCTGAATAGTATTAGGTGACATTTTCCTTTTAGGTGCAATTTTTTACTTCTTTGGAAAACTGAAAAATGGCTATGTGAAGTAAAAGGTTTTGAAAATGGCCGTTTTTTTTTTTTCATTCTCTCTATAATTTAAAATCTTATCACGTGTCTGCAAGAAACGTGATAAGAGAAAAGCTGGTTGACAGAAGGCTATTTGTCATCATGCTTACAGCAACATATTTTCTTCAGAATAACTATATTTGTGTCCTTGACCAAAATTGAGAAATACTGAGAGAGAAAAAAGCAAAGACAAGGAAACTAAGTACTCTGCTGAAATGTACAAAGTTGATAACAAAAAAATTCTAAAGAAACATCAACGAAAAAGATACAACATTCACTAAATAAATTAGACTGAAGTAGTGGTGGTGAAATCAAAAATTGAAATGTAATTTCAAAGTGAAGATTTGTATGGTGTTTATCCAGTGTGGACGATGTAATCAAAAGATTTGTAGCTTTGGTGTCTATCAGCCCAGCAGCTTATGTAGGGATTCAGGAGCCCTCTGTCAAGAGCCCAGTCAGCCTGTAATGATCAAAATGATGAATGACTACCAATGAGCGCTCCTTTAGTAGATAGTTGACCTTATTTATGAGTCTTTTTCAAGTATGTATGTTATTAATAACTCTATGTTCGCATGTTTTTGCGAAAAGCTGAATTGCATTTGTATTGTCTATATAGAGTCCTACATTTAAACTTTTTCTATTATGTAAAATTCACATTATAAATATTTAGTGTCAGTCATATATTGTCCTGAAGCCTTTGTGTGAGGTTCACGAATGAAAAAAAAAAACCTTCCCCATTCTCACTGCCTTTCTCCACCTCTTAGCTAATGTTTGCTCAAAATGCGCCGTTTAAAAATCACGCACTTTATGCTATCATAATGGGAAATAACCTGTCCGGAGCGGTCTGTAGCAGCCCATCACTCAAGCCTGGGTCTTCTTCTGCGGTATTATTCTGTGCTTCTAGCTGCTATCTGTACAAATTCTAACTGGTTGTAATGGTTGAGGTTTGTGGGGTCGCGGCCTTCAGCAGGACTGGGACTGGAAACCAGAAAGAGTTCATCCAGAAGAGGGCTGAATAAGAACATTTTTGGTGAAGGCTGTCTGCCTAATCAGGGATGAATTTTCCTGCAAAAATGGTAAAGTCCTGTGGAGGCCTCATTGTTAAAGTTTGTATTTTCTAATATAAAATAATATGAGAGTTTATGAAAAACTTAGATTTTCCAGTCTGGTGCCTTATTGTTTCCAACCTCAGTATTTTAAATCTCCATTAGTTAAGCGGCTCTCCGTTTACCCTCTAGTTCACTTTGAACCAATGATACATGTGGTGGATGGAGAGGAACTGAGGGGAATACTGCAGGTGTTGTAACATTTTAACCATGTCTTCTCTTTGATAAATATGGAAGAAAAATTACAATCCAAATAAAGAAAAAAAGGCAGATGAGAAGAGAATTTAGTGATAAAATTGAAGACCCCTAGTTTTGTGGTGTTGCGACATTTAACTGATAGTTCATTGAGTTTATGTGTCTTTGATTTCCAAGCTAGTGTAAATAGGAATCTTTGAATTAAACAACTTCAGTGTCATTAGCTGGTAGAGGGAATAGGAAATGTATCATGATGTCAGCCTTTCATCTCAGTTGATAATTATAATTATTAATAAGCTGTTTGTTTCATTTTCATATTTTGAAACGACCCGCCCTCTCCACTTTAAAAAAAATGCACACGCACAACCCTGTACCAACTCCCAAGAGGGAACGCCTGTTAAATGCGTGTGACATCATTTCTCCTTGTGCACGCTCTATTCAAAAGTTGCATTTTGCATCACTCATACAAGCTTACTTACCAAAAGATTTGCAATTTTTCAATTATGTCAGACTAACCACCGATAACTTAAAATGGGGACGAGCACGTAGGACGGCCTTGCGTAAACACATCACCAGAATGACCACTTATTTAGACAATCCACCCGAAAATAGAACATCCTCCATTAGAGCTTTAAACTGTTAAAAAGAGGTGAGGGTGGCGTGCTTCTCTAGCGTACTGGTTAGCGCACACAATCCTTGTATGACAGAGGCCTTAGGCTCCTTAGTCTGTCTTAGTTGCAGAGCCAGGTTCGAATCCAACCTGTGGTCCTTAGTGGTGTCTCTCCCCCTCTCTCATACCCCCTTTCCTGTCAGCCCACTGTACAATAAACGATCCACTAGTGCCGTAAACAATAACTTGGTGAAATCCTTTCCTCTCCCTTTATTCCCCAAAATGCCATCTAGTTCTTGATTGAAGTTCAGTAAAATTATATAATATTCTATTGGATGTATTCTCTTATTATTATTGCCCAGCTGGTGGTGTAAAACTATGTAGTCTTTAGACGCTTCACCTGTGTATGACTGATGAGGGAAGGTTCAATCCTCATTTGCTGAATATCTAATAAAAAAACCTGGAAAGGAAGCAATTGTTGGGTAGAGCTTAATTGTGGTTGGTCATGCTGTCTGTTGATGGTTGTAATTATTTCATCTTAAATCTGCATCATTTGTTGCAGGTTCTGCTCAACATACATAATGAAGAGGTGGTGATTGGGATCGCACTCACAGAGGAGAGTCTTCACAGGAGGAACATCAGTCACTTTGGACCTACTACCCTGCGTTCTACCCTGTGCTACGGCATGCTCAGGTGGCTAGTTTTTCAGGATCCTAGGGGCCTCGCAAATGTTTCATTTTTCATGAAGTCACTCATGTTTTGGAAAGAAGGTAGGGCAGCTTAACTGAGCATATGTGCTTTGGATGAATTACAGGTCGAACAAGTGCATCATTGTGGAGGACAAAAGAAATTGTCTTGTACGTCAAAGCTTGTTTGTTTTAGGCATGGTAACTAAATAGATAGGTGGCTGTCGTATTGGGTGATATTTTCCATTAGCATCATTATCGAAAGAATTTTTTTTGTCTCTATTTATGCAGTTTATTATTGTTAGGAATGTTGCATTTATTGTTGTGCATTTCTTTCATAATTATGCTTGTTTTATTTGGGTGTGATCAGTCCAGTATTGATACTGAATATTTGGAAGAATTCTTCTCAAACCGAGGGCTATAAAGAATTCTGTTCTATATTTAAAGTGAGTTCTATATTTAAAATATAATTAGCTAATCGTGTAGGCAATGAAAGACAGTATATCTAAATAATTGCCATTTAAGATAACAAGGAGTTAACCCAGAGGACAAATTGGCACTAAGCATTGAAATACATTGGATATTGTGTTTTCTTCTTTGAAAACCAGTTCCATCTTTGATTTTCCAATTTCCAGCTTGCATTTCTCTGGGTTGCTACTCGTCAGTCACCAAGCTCTCATGCTATGTCTGAATCAAATAGCTTAACTACCACACTAGCAGCAATCACTGCCTCCTAAAGAACTCATATTGGACTTGTGTGATTTTTGATGCTGGCTAAGCTTAGCCTCTTTTTTTCCTGGGATGCCCCCCTAACATCCAGCTGGCTGAGCACATTCTGATTCTGTTTCATATTTTAAAGAAACCTCACCATTACACATGTGAAGAGTTTTTTTAGTTCTCTGTTTTAAGGCTCATTAGAAAAAAAGTGGACCTCACAGCATGCATTTCTACATTTTAATGACTGCTCCAGTAAATAGTTTGACCTTTAAACATTTACTGGTCCTGTCAGCTTGTAGTCCAAAATAGCCTTTTTAGATTCTTCTGTTTAGAAGTTAAAGTTAGCAGCTGCACGCGCCACCGAAGTGCACGGTGTCCTCCCCAACATTGAATGCATAACAATGTGATGCAGCGTAAGTACTGACGCTACAAATGTTTTCATAAAGGACAAACAGGTATTTCAGACGTGACAAACGTGCTTGCAGTTTAAATTGGCAAGCCAATGTTCAAACTGGGAGTTACCCTAGACACAAATACAGTGAAGAAAATAAGTATTTGAACACCCTGCTATTTTGCAAGTTCTCCCAATTAGCAATCATGGAGGACTGGGCCATAAACCCTCCTGCAGTCTGTGCAAACCTGGTGAAAAGTACAGGAAAAATTTAACCTCTGTAATTAAAAACAACCGAGTTGATTTTCAAATACTTTTTTGCAGTTGTATCATACAAATAAATACTTAATAAATAATATTGTGATTTCTGGATTTTTTTTAGACTATCTCTCTCACAGTTGATATGCACCTATGATGACAATGTCAGACCCCTCCATTGTTTCTAAGTGGGAGATCTTGCAAAATAGCAGGTTGTTAAAATAATTATTTTCCTCACTGTATTTGTGTCTAGGGCAGCAGTGTTGAATAGCAGAACCATTTTCCATTTATGGTCACATTCTGTTTGCTTGGAAACCAAAATATTTTCTGTAGAGTGAGATGAGGTAAAAATTTTCAAGTGGGGGTCACCCTCCATACAGCTATAGAAGAGGGATCCAGTCTAGGTGTCATTTTTAACTCCTACAGTTGAAATTAAAATGCCAGTAGATTGAAGGCGAGTTTGTTTAGCCTCAAGGCAACCCACACAAGAACTTCCCATTAGGTTAATAACAAAAATCTATCTGCATTGAGTTAATACCAGATCTCCTTTAATATGAATCTTATCTGGTAATTTGCCAAATATGATTTTTATTATTTGGACCAATTAGGATGTTTGTAACTTCTACAGGTTTTTGCTTCTTTACGTAGCTCTGGACTGATGTTGGGACTATATTTATCCTCTGATGTGTGTCTGCAGGCTGTGTAAACCTCAGGAGTCTGATATAATACTTGATCCAATGTGTGGGACTGGAGCCATACCACTAGAGGTGAGACAATTCATGATCCTTTCATTACATCAGCTGGCTGGATGAGGTTCAGCTTTACGACATTTATTCAGAATGGGTGTGATTAACTGTTTGTTGCTGTAACGCCCTTCAGAGTTCTGGGCATGCAGTAACAGAAAAGAAAACATCTCTACAAACATTAAGTAATTTGGCTATGTCAGATACAGTTGGTATGGAGGAGGCAGAGGAATGAAGGAAAGCGTGTTTTTTTAAATATTTTTTTTTTTCGTAAATGTTATGTTTCATTGAAGGGTTGAAATGTAAAAGAACTGCATTTCATACAGCACATTGTTTAATCTATTAGGCTTTGATATGGAATTCTGTTTAGATAAAATGTGTGTCTTTGGGTGTTTTCACTAGGGCTGAAACAACTGGATAAACTGTGAATAATTCATAATTAAGATGTTTGTTAAATTACTTAGTAACTCAGTGATCATTAACTGTAGTAAACAGACTTTAAAAGATACTATTCAGTGAAAAAATTCATTCAGAGCAGTAATTAAACCAAAACTTTATAAAAATGTATACATTTGTATACAACTATTGAGAACCATTTTATTGTTGGACATTAATCCAATAACCAAAAAATTGTTCAGCAGATTAATCATTTAGCAAAATGATCATTGTATGCAGCCATAGTTCTGCCAAAAAGTCTGTATGCATTTGGTCAAAGATGATGTGAGGGACTGCACATTTCTATGCAGGGCTGGCTGAAGGCATAAGCAAACTAAACCACTGCTTAAGGCACCATAACAACTATGCGGCCCCCAAGAACAATTAATTAATAATTAGACATGTACTTGTCAGGATTTTGGGAGCCGATCGCTGATCATAAAAATCAACATCTGCTGACCACCAATCATAGCATTAAATCCATAAATTCTTCAACTGCTTTTTCGTGAACATTTGCATCGTATTATTAGGTATCAAATTTATAGACGATAAAGTAGCCTGAATTGACCACTGTTTTAGTGAAGGAGGCATTTTTGTAAGTTAAAATCCTGGCCAGGCCAACAATTGTTTGGGCCACTATAAGCCTGGAACTCAAACGCTACTCCAGATATTTTGAATAGAGAGATCTCTAGAGCTCATACTTCAAGTCCCCACAAATGGCCCAGATATTGGACATGGGTGACACTTGTCCTGTTTGTCCACTCATAAACTAAAGACACTGTCAGATTTGTCTTACCTGGGCGGAGGAGAACTAGCTCTTCCCTGTAGCTCAGCGGTTCAAAGTCAATTTCAAATTGCTTTCAGAAATCACAGCTCCAGGATCTGTGTGAGGAGTGGAGAGGCATATAATCAAAGCAGAACACACATTCCACCCCACTTTAGGCAGGAATTGGCTGCTGTCCACGACCAACCTGTAGAGAATCTATGCTTTATTGTCATGAGAAAGATGACAGACATCAGAGCCAACGATGCAGACGAGTTGAAGGCCACATTAGAACAGAATCACATAACCACCACCAAGATAATATGAGGGGTTTCCACCTTTCGTGTTGACAGTGATGTCTTTGTCTTCTGTCTGCAGGGTGCTATTGAATTTGGTGAATCGTTCTACATTGCAGGAGATAACAATGACATGGCAGTGAGCCGCACAGTCAACAACATATGTCACATTCAGAAAAGAAGGGCGGAGAAAGGCAGGTGAGTGAGCAGAGACCAACAGAACCTATTTCCTGAGTAACTGACCCGTTCTACCCTCAGAACTTTTCCCCAGAAGCTCCTTCATGGAAATGTTGATTTTCTTCCAGGTAGATTTTTTTTTAAAATCAGATCCAGGTTTTGCTTTATTACTTCAGAAAATCCTTGACAATGTGTTACTTTGGAGTACGATGGAATCTTCATCTGTCAACTGTTTGAAGGTCATCTTGTCAGGCAGTATTTTGGGATGTATATATAAATATAATAAAAACTTAGTTTCTTAATCTCATCTTTAATATAGCAGGAACCCTCATATGATAAACACCTTCACTTCATATTTTTTTACCAGCATTCTTGCAGCAAAGTTAGATTTATTTTCTGTCCTCCTTAATTTTTTTTTTTTTTCTAAATTAAGCAATTTGATGTTTATCTCCCAACCGAAACTGTTTGCTGGGCCCAGCGCCAGCTTTTTCTTTCCAACTCCAGATTGTGCAAATGGCTGTGGGCGGACCTATTCTGGTTCATATTACTTTTTCAAACTGCTGCAACAGTGTTTCACCAAACATTTTTATTTATTTTTTTTGCATTAATAAGTTGGTCTAGAAAGATTTATATCATTGCAACTTCTTTAGTTTGACAGAGCTGAAGCATAACCTTACATTTGTTTTTTTTAAATTGGATTATGTGTGATGGGGTCAGCACAAAGTAGTAAGAAAAAAAATGGTCTTTAAAGCATAGAGCATTTAGATTAACTACAACTAGTTCAATACTTTCTAGACCAGCCCTTTTTGCTGCATTAACACTAGGGCTGAAAAAAATTAATTGAATATTGAAATAATTGTCAACTAGTTTAGTAATCAATCTCTATGCTCCAGTCATTAACTGGAGCATAGAGAGCTCTAAACCATGCGTTGAGCTGACAGAGCAACCCAATTAGAAAAGTGATTCTATCAAAATTTTAAAAAATACATAAAAAATTTAGCATTTAAGATGAAGAAAACCTTTTTGTTGTCAATTTTCTCTATCCAGAACTCCTCAAGTGGAAACGTTTTGGTTTCAACTGGTTTAATTTCAGACAAAATCTTTAAGGAACTTTTGGCTATCAGATTATTAATTCAGAGATTAATTGATTTGCAAAATAATCGTTAGTTGCAGCCTTAAATGGAACCTTCAGATTTGTTGAGGTATGGTTCTAGATTTCTACATCAGAAATCTAAATATAAAAATCTAATTTCTGCCCATGTTCTACCCTATCAAAGTCAGATAAGACAGTTTCTCTAATGGACTTAAAGGGGTTATAAATATTAGTTATTTTTACTGTACTGAATCAAAATCAACCTAATTGGACATAAACATTTTTAGGAAATTATATTTAAAATGTTGGATAGTCCCACTCTGGGTGCTATTGAAGCTCATGAAGGGTAAACAATGTGTTACTGCCAAGAAAGAAAAGTGTCAGTAAAAAGCGTGTTAAGGTTTACCAATATACAGCATTGAAGTTGCATGTTTTACAGATACCAAGAAGTCCTTCTGTTTATGCATATTTTTCATCCAGCCCATCTGGATTACCCATTGACACAGTGCAGTGGGATCTAAGCAATTTACCCGTGAGGACCAGTTCTGTGGACATCATCGTCACTGACATGCCCTTTGGGAAGAGGTACTGTGGCATTTCAGAGGCTTATGGGACAGTTGTAATTTTTGTTAACAGATACTTTATGGTGCTCTTAAACACTGAATGCAGACTGTTTTTAAGTAAGAATTTGAGTGATGGTGTGGCTACAAGCAATTCGGTTACATTAATGGAAAGTTTGATGAAATCAGCTAAAGTGAAAACCTATTTACCATCGAAATTAAACGAATAATTCAGCTTTATCATGTGGCTGTTTTGTTGTCTGTCTGATTGAAGAATGGGCTCCAGGAAGAAGAACTGGGACTTGTACCCTTCTTGTCTCAGAGAAATGGCTCGTGTTTGCAGACCAGGCTCAGGAAAAGCCGTGATTCTGACTCAGGACAAAAAGTGCTTTACAAAGGTAACCAAAGCTCATGTAAAATACAATACCAGGTTGCTTTTTTTTCCAAGCTAAACATATTTTTCCAGGAAGTTCAGACTTCATGAAGACTGTTTTTCAATACAAGTCCTGTCCTGCAAGGTGTTCCTGATATTAAGTTCTGCAAGTTGTGGTTAGTTATATTCCAATACTAGATCTGATTCAAAAACACACACTTAGTCATTGATAACAAATAAAAAGATTAACCATGGTAACCAGTAAACACTGATCTCTTTTGGCTTTGAATAGACTGACAGGTCAATGGTTTAACCAACAAACCCACAGAAGAAATAGAACTTTACACAAAGATTTACAGCTGCTTTGGGGGGAAAACAGGATCCAGGAAGGTCTACCTAATGAAGTGGCTGTTTGTTTATTAGAGCATGATTGTGAGAAACCTTTTCTGGAGCTGGAAAATCTTCTGCTGGATGTTTAAGATAAATAGGGAGTGTAAACATTGTAAAGAATATCTTTATAAAAGGTAACATGCCCTGCCTGACAGTTAGTTTTTTGCCATCAAAGAAAAGCTGCTTCCAGTGCATTTGTCTTAATAAATCAGGAATCAGAAGTTGATGCTAAGTTCTAATATGTCAGGGCCTAACGTTAATGCTGAAAAAGTGTTGCAAGTTATGTTGTAAGTTTACGCTCTGTCACATTAATGGAAAGTCTCATGTTGCTACAGGGTTGGGGGGGAGGGGGGAGAGTGTTGGTAAACTAGAAAACCTGTTGGTGACCTTTGACATCCCTTCCAAGGAGAACAATGTAGCCTTGACGTTTTTTCAACTCTTTGACATTTTCTGTGAAAGACAATCATCTCACAGGGAAGCACTGATGATGACCCCAAAGGCTGAAGATGGTTATGACGACATATAGATTGTCTAGACTCTCAACAGGTTCTTTAAAATGGGGAAATGTTTGCTGTTTTTATTAAAGCATTTGTTGTTTAACCAAAAAAAAAGTTTCTGATGTTTGAAAAGTCCACCAATAGTACTTTACATTGCTGGTACTGAGATGGTTAATTGCTCATTGGTCAGAGTAGAATTTAGTTTGATCACTTTTCCTTTGTGTCTGAATCCATCATGCTCCTTGAAATACCAGCTCAGTGTGTGATTGTAAAGGAAACAATAATAGGATCTTTTGGGAAAGCCTTGATGAGGTGAAAAGGTGCTAAACTGCTAATTGCTGCAGTCTGGTGTTGAGATTCAGGGATAATTTAGTTTGTTTACTTCATGCTACAACTTTAATGTTCTGTTTTTTGTTCAGCTTCTGTGTCTTTAAATTATTGAACTTTAATCCAGGTTGTAGTACATTTTCTGTATAAACAGCTGGACCATAACATGTTGGGTTTGGATCCCAGTCTGGGCTGTCGTCTGGGTATGTTCTAGAGGGGCCCACCTCCCACACTCATCTCTGATTCAGCAAGGAAAGGAGGGGATGAATAATGTATAGTGGGAAGGAAGTTACAGTATATTAGCTTATATTTCTTTCAATTTGTGTCATATAGAATCATAAAGTTATAAGATGCTTCATATCCTTTTTTTACATAAATATATACATACACACATTGATACATATATCTCCGTAGTGATTTTACTCTTGTGTTGGTTTGTCAAATACAATTTAATTATCTACAAAAATGTTTGATAGAAATAAAACCTTCAATTTATATAAATACTCTCTTAAAGTAGTTTATGGTTTTCTATTCCGAAGGAGGCAATGCAGATGTTTTATTTTCTCCAGCAACAGTCTGTTGTGTTTATGTAGATATCCTTCATCTCTAAACAGTCTAAACATGAATGGGCTTGTTCTGAAGCGCTCTGCAAATTAGCACTCAGCGGTTAAAGTGGTTCAGGTTAAACTCAGCCTCATGGAAAAACCTGTCCGCCCCCTCTTACATTTGTCTACACTGGGCTCTTATGTCATATAAAACAAACGTCTCATCTATTCGAGGGCTTTAACAAGATCTTTTTTTTTCTTTCCAGGCTATTTCCAGAATGGGAGGACTGTGGAGGAAGCTGCACACTGTTTGGGTGAACGTTGGGGGTTTACATGCCGGGGTTTACCTCCTCAAGCGGACCGCCGCCATGTTTGGTCAAACTCCGGAGGACATCTATGAATCAAGAGGGAGGAGTGACGCACATATGAATGAGACGGATGACAAAGAATCCTCTGAACTTCAACCCAATGTTTAAGTGATGCAATATTAGGAAATGCTGAGATAATCTGCTTACTTGACCTGATTTTTTTTCTCATCAAGCTTGCCAAACAGTTTTTTTTTATTAATATTTTATTGGAAAATAAGCTTATATGTTCAGTAGCAGTGAAACGGTTTCATTTTAACTTATTTCTGTTCTCATGTTCGGAACTAACAGCAGTTGACATCATCAGACTCGTCGGATGTGATTCTCCATTTGTACAAGATCTGCACATTTAATTACTCTAATAAAGATCCATTAATGTTGATGGGTTATGGATACTAAGCTGTCACACAGATATCTTTGAGTTTTTTTTTATGTACGTCTTTAATTGGGTCTTTCTGATAAAATGAAACTGCCAACTCAGCATAACATGAACCAGAGCCTCCACACTATCATACTACAGAGATTGTTTGTTAATGTCTTAAACCTGATGTAATAGAAGTTAAACCAGAACATATGGAAGATTTTGGACCTCTGAAGAATTGGTTTATCGGGTTAAAAAACTAGCCATTTAATCAAGGTAGTGTGAGCTCAGTCCCCCCTAATTCTACCAGTTATTTATTTCTGCAAGTTTCAGGGAAAAATAACATCTAGATGTATAAATCAAATGCCTAAGAAGCAATATAAACTTGATTAAGATATCTATGAAACCAATTTTCACAGAATGTTGACAAGGGTTTTGAGATTTTTTATATTCCCCAATTCATCACAGATTTATATTAATAGAGCTTTTTATTTACCGGTGAACTGAGAACTTTGAAAGAAGAATGGCTTTTCTTGTTTTTTTAATCAATGGACTGCATTGTACTGTATGAGAACATACGGCCATAAGCTGGTTAATGACACAGAAGATGATATATTACATTGGTTTCAGAGTCAAGTTTAATAGTTTGTTTTTCCATTTCTTTAGTCAAGAATATAAAATACAGATCAAATCTGAACTGAAGCACTTTGCATTAAAATTATTTCATTCTTAAAGAAAGCCATATATACGATTATTTTACTTAAGCATTAAAACAACACTGGCAACCGCTGGATTGAATTTGAATTTTGTTATTGTGATGCTTTATAATCCAAACTTCTCTTCATCTGAACTTCAACATTAATCAGGTTTCTGTTTTGTAAATAATTTCACCCAGATTAAGAAAGTATCTTTAATTGCAATATTTTGTACTTGGGAATACCGAAAAAGAAGATGGTAAAAGTAAACTTATTTGGAATGCTACACAGTCTATTGTAAAGTAGAACTTAGAAATTGTCAAAGTTATCAATCTACAGAAAGGAAGGAATAATTTAGCTGAAGATGTTCTGAATAAATGAAAAATGCTTGAAGAATGATCTGTGTATGGAAAAATGGAGTCATTCAGCTTTTGAAATCTGCAATAGACATTTCAGCCCAGGGTAATTAAATCACTTCATGCTTCCATCTGCTTAAAAAAACCTTTGTGGAGAGGAAGATTTCATTTTTCAGCATGACCTGGCACCTGCTCACAGTGCCAAAACCACTGGTAAATGGTTTACTGACCATGGTGTCACTGTGCTCAATTGGCCTACCAACTCTCCTGCCTGAACCCCATAGAGAATCTCTGGGATATTGTGAAGAGGAAGTTGAGAGACGAAAGACCCAACACTCTGGATGAGCTAAAGGCCGCTATCGAAGCATCCTGGGTTTCCATAACACCTCAGCAGTGCCACAGGCTGATTGCCTCCATGCCACGCTGCATTGAAGCAGTCATTTCTGCAAAAGGATTCCCGACCAACTATTGAGTGCGTAACTGTACATAATTATTTGAAGGTTGACTTTTTTTGTATTAAGAATACTTCTTTAATTTGTCTGATCAAATATGCTAATTTCGTGAGATAGAAATTTTGGGTTTTCATGAGCTGTATGCCAAAATCATCCGTATTAAGACAATAAAAGACCTGAAATATTTCAATTGATGTGCAATGACTCTAAAATATACAAATGCTCAAGTTTTATCATTACATTATGGAAAATAATGAACTTTATTACAATATGCTAATACTTTCAGAAGGACCCGTAGAATAGGGCTGGACTGGACTTTGGGTATATGGGGCGTATGCCCAGTTGGCCACCACCCATATTTGGGCTGACCGGCAGTCATAATCAAACATGTATTTATCAATAAGTGCTTAGATTATCAAACAACCACATGAAAATGTAATAAAAGAATTTGAAGGAATTTTCTCATTTCAACAGTAATACAAGAAAATCAGTCCAATTTTCATTAAGCAATTTTTCTATTGCTTAATCCTAGTTAAGTCACATTTTAGCAAATAGTTTTTTTTCTTAGCTTGGTTAATTTATTTCTCCATATAGTTGTGGTTGAAAGTTTACATACCCCCCATTAAAGAAGGTGACATATTCAACTAGTTATTAAAATCCACCAAGAATCTGATGGAGCTGGAATATGAGGGATGAAGTGCTTGTTATCTATCACACGTGGGTCAGTTAGCAGCACAATCCAGACTGAGTCACAACGGGTTACATTAAACTGAAACAGTTCATGTCTACAAAAATTAAAAAAACTGAATGTCCAAATAGAGTCTCATTGCATTTAAAAGTCACATTTTCTTTTAACTGTAACAATAGTTTTGTATTCACCAAATACAGAAGTAAAGTCTGGAGTTAGCCAACTAGACTCTTGGATAAGAAATAGAAGAATGTGAAAACAGGACTATCAAAATGACGTCTGTGAAGTAACATGAGATCTGACTTAAAGGAACTGAAAGTAAGAAAGCAATGCCGTTATGTGACTCTCTTTCAGTACGTCAGAAGATACTAATTTACCAAACAAAATAGTGTAAGGCATTCATTTGTTTTCTCTTTAAAGGTGAACCATTCTCCCGGGCCATTGAAATAAAAGAAAGATATCTGGCATATTTAAAGTGCTTCTGAAGATATTTGACTCTGCATTCAGGACAGAACCTTGGCTCTCCTAGAAGCCTGTGTTATCAGCTTGTGGTATGGTTTTTGCTGATCGTTTGAATTGTAAAAGGTATTTTGTTGTTAATACTGTTCTCAGTGATAACTGTGGAGCATCTGAGGAGCCAACAGATGATCATTGGCAGAGTCTGCCATCTCGACCTATGTTAAATATATTTACCAACACTGGCTAGGAAGATATAAGTTGAAACATGACATCCTTTCAAACCCTGTGAGTTTTACGTATTTAGACACGGATATCTAATGTCAATTCAAACAATGCTGAGATATTCCCATTTTCCTTTGCTAAAATTACACACAAGTGTGTCACTTCAGGCGCATATGAGTAAAACGTTGTAACTGAGCAAGTAACCCTGAAAACAGACTACAGGATCCCAACCAGTCTCAAAAAAACCATAGGATCATTTTTGAAAAATAATTATAAAAATATGAAACAATCTTTAACTTAAATGTGACTCTGTAAGAAGAACTGGCTGAGAATTAATGAATGGTTCTGGGCCTAGACAGAGGCCAGGCAAAAGACAGTAGTTAAGGTGCTATTGAAGATTCTCAGTCATCCAGGTCATAGTCATTCCAAAGCCTTGTTTGGGCTTAGAAAACATGCTTGTTTTCTAAGCCCAGACAAGGCTTTGTTGGGCTACTCTACAGAGCTTGGAACTTAAGGCTAATTTTGATATTCTGAATTGAAAAAGCTTCCTTAATGGGAAGCGAAATGTCTTTACATTTGGAAAACAAAGTCCAGTGGTTAGTGTTTTAGCTTTTTTGGAAGAAGTATTTTAGATGATTTCAGCCAAAGTTAATTAGGCTTTCTAAGAGTTTATATAGCTTGTTTAAACAGTCAAACAATACTATTTTGTTTGTGTTTACCTTTAATTTCTTTTTTAACTTCTAATTCCTAGAACCAGTTTTCATATCTATTTATAAATCCTGAAAAATATTGCAGGACAATAAATTAGGAACTGCTGATCTAAGCAGTTTATACAAGATCAAGCCAAGATGCAACTCTTGATGTAATTCAGATGCTGTCATATTGAGTACATAACCCGGAACAGATGGGGTTAGGGGTTAAACCTCATCTTCTACACAGACAGTGGCGACGGTTAGGCTAACCCAAACCCAAACCTAAATTCAATTCACACCTTAGTCCTGACCCTAAAAACAGCGATTGCTTTTGTGGGATCCATATGGAAGGCCGTTTCCACCACTCTGTAAAAAAAAAAAAAAAAAAAAAAAAAAAAATCTCATTATAATGAAATAGTATCCCATTATAATGACATATCTCATTATATTGAGATTTTTTTTAATTTTTTTTTTTAGAGTGGCTGAAACTGCAACAACATGCAACTTTTCCAGAAAATGCGCCTAACAATGTAATAAAAACAAGAACACACACACAAAGAAAGAAAAAATTGCCACCAGGACCAGAAAAATGTATTTCTATTCTGTCCTTGTCAATTTATCAGACGCGCAAATCAGTGTGTGAATGTCTGAATGACTGAATGTACTGTAAAGCACTTCAGTCAAGCCTCCTGACTGAAAAAAGTCCTATATAGGTACAGGACATTTACCATTTTAAACTAAAACTTACCTATTTGAAAATGAAATTAGTCCTTTATAGTTTAACATTTTAGGTGTCTAATTTTATTTGTTTTTAATTATTGGCAGGAAATCAACTCAGATATTTTAAATAAAAGTAAGAGCTGAGTGAAATATTGCTTATCCTAAAGTTAAGAGGTTAAATCCCTCATCTGCTGCTGGAATGACGTCGTTTGAGCGTGGAGCTTTCAAACCTGTTGCGCAACTGCTGCGTGAGAAAATAAAAGCCAGTCAAGCAAACCGGCAGCGATCACTGTGACAGAGGAGTGGAGAAAAGTGAACACCGGAGAGATGATCTGGATTGTTCCTGTGCTGGTTCTGCTCTGTTTGCTCTTCACACACCGTTGGAGGTAAGTCAGACTAGACAAACCTACATAGAAGCCTTTATTTCAACCACCATGTGTTGGAAAACTTGCATTTTTCACATGTTTGTTAATTAAGATCAAGTTTGTTTTGATGCAAATAATTATCCTGTGTATAAACTGAATAAAATAAAGAATTTTGTTCTCTCCTTTCCTTTAGATACAGCAAAGAGCCACCTCTTGAAAGGGGAATAATCCCATGGTTGGGTCATGCACTTGAGTTTGGAAAAGATGCATCCAAGTTCATTACTCGAATGAAGCTGAAAAATGGCAACATATTCACTGTATGTAGGAGAAAAAAAACAATGTCATTAAATCTCTCAGATGCCCTCTTTTGCAGTGTATCAGATACAGTAGATATTGAAGGTTGTAAAGTTCGAAAACTCAGGTTGCATTTTTTTAAAGAAAGAAATCTGAAAAGAGTGACAGCAAATGTTTTTCAATGTGTTTTGTTTTTTAAAAATGTTATTCCTGGTAGTTATCTTCATATTTTATTAACTTTTACTGTATATAATTTTAAAGACAACTTACATTTCTGTCAGAGCTGCTGCTTGGGGAAAATACAGTCTTCAAAGAAAGAAATGAATGTAATCACATTTGCTGTTTTTTTTATTATTATTTTTTTGTTAGTTATTTAGTCTTTGTTTGTATGATTTGAAATTTACCATAGAAGAGAACAATATTCACAAGGTTTCCGCCCCTAATTGTTGTAGGGCATGTATTATGTATTTTGGTATATATTTTTTAGTGTAATAATCAAATTTCATGCTAAATCAGTGGGAAACATTATCATGTTTTTTTGTTTTGTTTTTTAAACCCCTAAAATTGCACACAAGATATGGACAAATTACAGATTTGAAGTTGCAAAGTGCTTATTGTAACTCATTTTTAATAATTTATGTGTCTGGATGCACAGGTGCATGCTGCAGGCCGCTACGTGACCCTGTTGCTGGATCCACATTCTTATGACGAAATCATCAATGATCCAGATTCTCTGGATTTTGGGCGCTACGCCCAAGTGCTAATGGAGCGTATTTTTAACCTGCACCTCCCACTTTACCAGCCAGAGAAAGCCAAGGCCATGATGAAAAGGTAAATGATTACTTTGCATCAAAGAAAGCATGATTTTATCTTCCTTTTTGCTTTATATAGAAATGAGAAAAAAACATAATAAAACAGAATCACATTGAATAAATTCCCGTTCTTGTTCCTTTATTTTTTTTTCCCCTTCTTGCTTAAAAAAATATTCCAGGTTATTTTGGTTCTTGCTGTTACCTCCTGCTTAATTATTCTAGTTTTTCAACTTCTACTTCTTTAGACAATTTTCCAAGAATTTCCACATTTGACCTTTTTTATTCACCTTTTTTAAAAACTTTTGTCTGCAGGCACTTCATGGGATCGAGTTTGTCAACACTTAACAGCAGCATGAATCGAAATATGGAGATTCTGCTGAAAAGCGAGATGCCACACAACCAGAGGAACTGGAAGCAGGAGGGCTTGTTTCACCTTTCCTACAGCTTACTCTTTAAGTATGAAAAAAAAAAAATCCTCCCACACATAAATACTCTTGGCTCTTGTAACACAAGTGTGACTAAATCCTCTAAGCTAAACAGTTTACAAACCGCACCATTTCTTGATCGTTTGTTTGTAAGCAATGCTAAAAAAAAAATGCATGGAAGTCACATCCCTGCGGCTTAAAGTTTGTGGCGGTTTGATGATGTCCTTCAGAATATTACCACAGTAATGAAACAAAAGGCAGAGAAGATTACATGACACAATCTGATACTGTTTTAAAAAAAAAATATTTATATCTACGAAAAGGAGATGATGCACATCAAAAGGGCGTGCCAGTGGAAAAAAAACATGAAATGACAGTTGAAAGCTTTCTAAAAGAAAGACTGCATGGAATGTTTATCTGTCATCAAGAGAAGGACATTTAGCATTCATTGACCTAAATATTCTTACTCTTACCCTGTTTCTCTGCAGGGCAGGATACCTGACGCTGTTTGAAGGAGAGCAGAACAACAACTGTACAGATCCTTCAAGAGTTTATGAGGAATACAAGAAGTTTGATGGCCTCTTGTGTGGTCTGGCAAGAGGGAGTCTGAGAAAAGGTAAAGAGACAGACCCTGTCCCTTTAAGAGCCCCAAAGTAGTCCGAAACATTTAATCCGAGGATAAAAAGGGCTTTTCTGAAGTATTCATGGACCTTGAACTGGTCATTATTTTCTTCACTAATGTTCTCAAACAAACTCAATCCCATTGAAATAAATTTAAATTTACAAAACACTAACAAAGGACATATTTACAATGTTTATGTCAGCCATTGGTTAATTGGGTTTCCCATCATTAAAGTGCCTCATTGGATTTGTTTAGAGGTATCTATGCACAACTCAGCTGCTTACATAGCGTCTGAGTATTTGTGACTAATTTTGCTCCTCCAGCGTAGAAGTAACTCATAGCTGTCAAAACACAAGCTGTATTCCCATTGCTGTTTTTATTGCTCCTCTGTTTAATTTGGAGTATATCCATCAGCCATACGCCCATAATGGAAAATTATGTGCTGCCATTACTGTATACCGCACCTCCCTGCCTGCTTCTGAACTATTGACTGTTTTGATATCCACTCTGAATTATCATGTATGTTTTTTCTGTGACTAACCCCCTCGCTCACTCTTGTGTTATCTGTGTGTGACAGAGGCGAAGGCGACTGCTTATGCCTTACAAAGAAAGCTCTGGGAGCTCCTGGCTCCAGCAGGTCTGGGGAAGAGCTCCGGGTCAAGCCCTTGGCTCCACGCCTACAGACGGCTTCTTCAAGATGATGGAGTGGATGAGGAAACACAGAGAAGGGCCGTGCTGATGCAACTCTGGGCCACACAGGTGAGTCATGCTCACGTGGGAGTTACATTCATTGAGAACAAGGCCTGGGTTTACACCTGTGCTTATGTCTTTACTATGGGAAAGGCAAGCTGCTGTGTCATATTGACATAATATGACACTGTGACGTTGTCTGTGACTCTCCCCCCCCATTCACTCTGTGTGTTGTCTGCACAAAAGTTTATATCTAAAGAATGAGATGCAGCACCCTTCTTTGGCACATGGGGATGCTGTTGTCCTTTGATTCAGGAAAAACATTTAGGATTGCATTTAAGTGTAGAAGGAAAATGCTCTTCTTGAGCTTTTTTTTCTAACCTACCCAAGGAAACTGAAGCGTTTTTAACAGTGTATACTACTGCATGAAATATTGGTATTATTCTAAATACCTGAATGTGTCTTTATTTGAGGTGTCATCAATCTATCACACAGTGTATGTAAAGATGCACTAAAAAGCAGCATTAAGAGATTTTTTTTCTTTGTCTCCCTGATTCTTCACCTGTTGATCAAATACAAGAAAATTGAGAATAACCCCTTTTGATGGATACATCAAAACAAAGAGCTCCCCCATTTCAGATCTGTAAATAAATTAGCCAACAGCATCTTCTCTGCTTCACCTCTACTGCAGAATCTACTGCACTTTTCCCCCACATCAGTGCAACATAGTAACTGCAAGTCAGACCTCTAAGCATAAATCATTTTCCACCATGAGAAACCATATCTGTACATCTCTGAATACTAGCTTGGATTAGCAATTTTTGGAATCAATATTTGAGTTGTTTAGATTTGCAAATTACAGTTCTACTCAGAGTCAGGCTGAGTCACAGTCTCCCAGAAAGTCTTTCTAGAGAGATTTTGCTCGAATTAAGGTTTAACTTGGATTTTAACAATATTAAATGTTCATGAAGTAACATATTTTGCATGTGAAAATAAGATGAATCTAATTTTTTGCTCTCAAACTTAAGTAATGGATGCTTGCATGGATGGATGGATAGATGGAGGCTTTATGATAAAATTATCATAAAGCATCCAGAATAAAGATGGAAACACATAAACTGAAAATAGAAAAGAAAAGATCCAATGGGCCTACCAGAGGGAAATGTGTATGAAAAATAGTAACTTAAAAGAATGATTATAATTCCAGGAAAACTGTAACAGTTTGTTATCTAGGTTGTTTATTTTAGTCACAGGCTTTGCTGTTACAATGAACGTCCTGCCCTTGAATGCAGGCAGATGGCAGGGGACCTCAGGTTTCCACTGGCTTTCCTTTTTAAGTAAACCATTACTGCACCGGGCTTTGCCAGAAGTGAGACAAACCAGAGCATAGCTCTTCTCTTCCCAGACACATGAGAGGAAACCGCTCTTATCTGTCTTCCAGCACTGAAAAAATCATTAAGCTTTTCATGTAATTAAAATAACTACATTTAAATAATGCCTGTTCCTATCCTTACTCCCAACAGAAGGTAGATCTGTGGATGTCACATGATGTTTTTATTTGCTGTTACCAAACAACCACCTGCGCTGTCACTATGCAACACTAGAGTGGGGGACCTTATCACACCATGCTCATGTGAGTTTTTTTTTACTGTGTTTCCAGGGTAATGTGGGTCCAGCTGCATTTTGGCTTCTGGGCTATTTGTTGACAAACCCTGAAGCCCTGATGGCAGTGAAGAGGGAGTTTGGCCAGATCTCACAGATGGAGAGTTCAGGGACTCCTCTCCTGGACAAAACCATGAAGACCCCAGTGTTTGGTAAGGGACTTATTGTTGATTTTATTAGCAGATTAATAACTTTTCTGCAGCTACTTTGAAAATTTTAATAGAATAATTACAAATAGCAATCCCACCTTGAGCATTGCATTGATTTTTATGTTTACAGCAACAAACAAATAATTTTATTTCCATTTTAAAGGAAACCAACTCAAACAAGTTCTTAATTGGGAGGCATAAAAATTATTACTCATGATGCCAGAATGTGGTATGCTTATGTATTATGTATTTTTACCTCAAAGAAAAAGGCTGTTAGCTATAAACCAAACATATGTTAGTAATACCCTCTACAAAAATACCCTAAAAGAATGATTGTTGAGAGAAATCGAAAAAGTCCCCCTTGCAGCTTTTCACACCCCATGTAAGGGAACTGGTAGACCTAAGGAAGAAGGCTTTCTACAAAGATTAGATGAGAATTAGGTTTTTGGCCTGCATGAAAAAAAAATGCTGCATGTGGCAGGAATACCCTGGACACCCTAATGAGATGGATTAAGTTAAATAAGTGGCAATCTATTAAGAGAACATGATAAATGCCGTAAGCCTTGATACCGGGGTGCAGGTTTGCCTTCAAATGGGGGTTTCTTTCCATCAACATTCAGCCACATCTGCAGTTCAATGACATAAATTAAGAGGTGTTTGTGTGTTAAAATGGTGCAGACCTTAATCTAATTTAGAGTTTGTAGAAAAACCTGAAAATTAAAATTCATGGTTGCACTCCTTCCAGTTTGATTGAGTTGGAGCTGTTTGAAAAGAGGAATAAATAAATATTTATAGTCTTTAAATGCTAAACATAAATAGAGATGGGATGCAAATGCCCTCTTTTGAAATGAGGCAAAACATCAAAAATGTTAAATGTTTATATAGCATTTACAAATAAATACATGCAAAAGCTAACTGTGTGCTTCAGCTGAAACATGGGATGCTTAATTGCATATGTATTTTATGGAAAAATGCATTCTAACTCATTTGATCCTTTAGATTGTAATTTATATTTTTATTTCATGCTTTTCAGATAGTGTCTTGGAAGAAACTCTTAGACTCACTGCTGCCCCGTTTATAACAAGAGAGGTTGTTCGGGAGAAGACTCTTCACATGGCTGATGGCCGGGATTACCTGCTAAGAAAAGGAGACAGGGTGTGTTTGTTCCCTTTTGTCAGCCCTCAGATGGACCCAGAGATCCATCCTGAGCCACAGGTTTGTCTCCTTCCAAGCATTTTAAATTTCCCTCTCACGTTATATCATGAACTGTAGCAGATCTTTAAGGGACTAGCTGGGGTCTGGTTTAAGGGTAAATGACAGCATGAGTTGTTTATATAAGGTGAAAGTGAGTGTCCACACAAAGCTGACCCTGAATGACCCAGTGAGTGGTCAAATCCAGAGCTCTGGGTTATTTGGGGATTAACATAGTATGAGAACGGAAAGAGCTGGTAGGCGTAGGAGGGACACTTTAATTCTGCTTTGAAGCTATTCATATCCACTATTATAGGAGAAACAATCAAAAACTATTTTTATTTAATTAGATGTGGTATCAACTATGTCTTCCCACCAGAAATTCAAGTTTGACCGCTTCCTGAATAAAGATGGATCAGTAAAAAAGGACTTTTACAAAGATGGGAAGAAGCTAAAATATTACACCATGCCATGGGGCGCAGGGGCCAACGGTTGTGTAGGACGGCAGTTTGCCATCAATACCATCAGACAGTGAGTTACCTGTACATCTTTTATCAAAATAACTGGAGCTTTGTGCTTGAAAGTCCTGATTTGTCTTCAATCTTTGTTAAACCTTTAGATTTGCTTACATGTTGCTGACCAACTACGATCTGGAGCTCTGTGATCCGAATGCTCAGATTCCGAAAGCAGATGTCACCCGTTATGGATTTGGGATGTTGCAGCCTGTGGGAGACTTGCTTGTTAGATATAAACCAAAAGAAGCATGATCATTTTCATTGATCTTTTTTTTTGTTTCATTGTTAATATTGTACATAACTTTTTATACATCTGTATTTATTTTTTGGTATAAGAACATTGTTTTTTTATTTATCAATAAATATTAATTATACATGTGCTAAATTTTGTGAATATTTTTTTGTTGCTGCTTAGAATCATTTAGTTGCTCTCATGTATGCAAACAGAATTGAGGAGTTCTTTATGTCAAACATAAAGAATGAGTGTAATGAGGGAAAGGCTTGTCCTGTAAATAAAGATCTGGTCTCATTTAGGCAGAAACCTGCCTGCTGTTAACAGAACCTGAGTGGAACATTTAGCTTTAGGCTGTTTAGACACTGATGCTGATGGTATTGTGTTCATCACAGATTACAAGTCATAGCAGTTTTAAAAGGACTACCAAAAACAAAAAGACCCAAAAAACTGTTCCTTTAAAAAACTATACATAACATTTGAACTTGAATAAAGATTTTACATCAAAGGCCAACACAAAATAGTCCTAACTTTAATATGAAAGGCAAAATACACACAGGTAAGCATCTGTTTTCCAAAAAGTATCCTGAAAGGATGCCTTTATCTTGTACTCAGCCAACCTCTTTGTAGGAAAAGCATGACTGACTCCTGCCCTCCAGAGCCAGTGTCCGTGCTCTGACACAGCTGAATCACCCCATTCTAAGTCTTAATAACATTATTAAGCATGCAGGATACTATCCTTTAAGAACCAACCCTAAATATCCATCCTGTAGAATAACTTTTTGACAATGTCTCTACCAACTATGTATACTTACACTGTTTTTGCCCATTCTTCTTAAAATAATTTAAGCTGTGTAAGATTGGATAGACACCATCTCTGCATAGATATTTTTAACTATGGTCCCATATTCCTAATGGGATATGGGTCTACACTTTGACTGGCCCATTGTAATACATGAGTACAAACTGTGGCTGTGTATCTACAGATGTGGAACCCCAATACAGTCTAAAGTGTTTATTTTTTTATTATCTACAGTATTTATTCTGAAAAAAACTGTTTCAGCATTGTCAATTTTCCAATAAACTGTACACTTTTTCTCCTTACCAAGAAAAAGCATTCCACCAACATGATACTGCCATCACCATATTTTATTTGGGGGTTGGCATGTTCAGAGTGATTTGCAATCTTTGTTTTCTGACAAATGCGTCAGTTTGGAATAGGACAAAAAGTTGGTCTAGTCTATGCAGTTTACCATCTGCAGAACTACAGCAAAACCATAAGTGATCAAACAATGCTCCTCTGGTAACATAAAATCTAGCTGCATTATTCCATACAGGACTTCAATTTTACATTAACAAATTAAACAAATGAAATAAAATATATAAAGAATAATGTTAAAATAAATTAATAGGATTTTCTATAAATGCAAATGAAGATAGATGATGAAAATAAATGCAAGCCACTAGACACCACAACAGAGTAACTGCAATGGTTTTCTATTAGTCAAAATACATCTTCTAATACTATCCTTTGATTTTGGATGAGATATGCTGAACAGCAATTTCAGTATCGATTTTCCATAAGTAGGCATTTCAGTATAAAAGAAAAAAATATCTTAGCTTAAGAAGAAATAATGTGAGTTATAATTATATATATTTTGTTATTATTGGGGACATTAATAATAATCTGGAAAAACAACCCACATATTGGCTCAA